TAAAACAAACATTTACACTTTTCAAAAAAAAAAAAAATTTTATACAAATTTAACACAAAATCTTCTAAATACATTGGTTTAATGTCAGATATGTTCAATATTTCTACTTTTTTAAAAATATTCATCTTTTACATTCATTATTTCTAAACTGTGATGTCATACAAACAATTATTTATTCACACAATGACTACTAAATAAACATTTTCTCTTTGGACTCAATTTTGTAAAAGATAAAAAATACATTTGAAGTAATTATTACGTTTATTTAGAAAAAAAAATTATTAAACATTTTTTAGTATAACAATAAATTCTACAATATATTAAGAAAATAATTATACTAATTATTCTAAAACATTTGAAAACTTCAAAGCTTTTATTCTAGAATCACATCTTTACTTACAATATACATAAAAACTAGTATCTGGACATGAGCAAAATTGGATGGTGTGCAACACTCGTTAATCACATTTAAGAAACTAGAAGTAATATACCGGATAGTCCTTTTATTAGTAATAATTTACTGGAAACAACTTAAACTTTTAATTATATAATTATTAAATGTTTTTTGAACCATGGCTAGTCTTCACTTAATATTTCATTGTATCATCAACGAAATATACAAATACATTTGTAACCATTTACAATTATTTCATTGAATTTCCTTTATAAATGACAAAACTGATTTTAAGAAGTGAAAAATAAATGCTGAAGTTTGCAAATGTAATCCAATTAATTATTATATAACCTGTAATAAAATTGATTTTGCTTAATGTCGCAGTTTCTAAGAAGCTATCGACAACATTAAGCATGTAATAAATGATATAATAAATTAACTATAAGATCACAATATTGGATCTTATTCTCAATAGGATTTCTGTTAACTGAGAAATAAAGTTTAGTCTAAATAGTTTATTATCTAGTCTTGCCTTTTTAGATTTGTGACCATCTATTATTAATTACTATTGAGTATTTGAAACACTGAGCTTAAGTCATAGCTAAAGACTAGTTTTAAATTACAATTTAAGTTTTGAATGTTGATTTGTAATGAGCTTATCGTACGTGTATATCTCCAAAACAATATATTTGTGGGTTTTCCTTACATTTGTTGATTTTAAGTAATTTGTAATAAAAGCTATTTAACACATGGAAAACATTTTATAGTGTTTTACCATAGAAAATATTCTGCATATTTTTGTAAAAGAATTATATTTTTATTTATAATAAAAAAGAATTCCATCTTAAATCAATCTTGGAATAACCATTGATGGACTGATGGATCATTCTGACTAGATATAACATTTTTTCTATTAAAAAAGTCTTTTATGACTGAATAATTAAGAAATCTAAGAATCATATGAGCTGTAATTAGATTTCTTTTAATATTACAAGTATTTAAAATTATTATTTCAAATATTTGTAATAATTTAGAAACTTTAATGCCATTTCAATTGCCAAAATATTCCAGTCATTCTATACATGATAAAAATGTTTTGACAATGCAAAATTGGCTCGTATCAAATTTTCAATACCTTGTGTAAAAAAAATGCAAGCCAAGTCACGTGGATTGTGTGATAATTGTTTATATTTTTTCCATGACTAATTTTACTATTTGCTTTATTTTGACGTAAAGCAATTGGAAGGATTAATGAACCAGAACTTTATTCTAATAGAAAATAATATAAAGAATATATCGGTATCAATTTGAATAAATTTTGATCACAGACTTAATAAATTACATATTCATTTTAGTATTTGTTTAAAAATCAATAAAGATAGTTGTAACACATAAGAGCAATAATAATTAGATATACATTAAGAGTATTTTTTAATCTTATTCATAACACTGTTAGCATTCTGATACTAAACTTTCATAAAATTTTCCAAATTATCCTCCTCTATTATTACTGTAAGTTAATAGCGAGGTCGCTGCCGACATTCACATTTTAGAGATGAAAACATCAGCCGCAACCTCACTAATATACAATTTTAAATTAAAAGTGATTAAACTAATATAATTCACAGATTAATCAGATTTTTTATTTTAACATTAAATTTCTCAAAAACATTTTGTTTATATTTCTAATTATTCCTCTCAAGCTAATTCTCCAATTAATATTTGAAGTATTAAATTAACAGACATTAGATAAACTTAATACAGTAGAGCCTCGAAAACTCGGCCTAATGTGGACCGAAGGGTGGCCGAGTTTGTGAAAATGCCGGGTTATCGGGAATGGGGTTAAAAAAGGATAAGTATGCGTGTTTCCTCAGAAAATACTGTACTGTACTTGTATGTATTGTTTACTTGAGAATACAATAGAGAATAAACTGCCCAAATGCCCTTAAACAAAGGAAAAGTAGGTCTTTTATGAAGGCATAGAGCCTTTACTACATGAAAATGAAAATTAATGAATACACTGTGTACAGTAATTTACCTGATAAAACAGACCTCAGAAAAATACTTTACGAGAGCTTTTATACTTTTATAAAGCTGTCTATAATGAAAATTAATTAACTAAGGATTTTTTTGCCCTGCCAGGGTGTGGCCGAGTTTTCGAGGCTCTACTGTAATTGCCTAATTTTAAATCTGTTAGAAGTAATCTAAAACAGGATAATTTATCATCATCAAACTAAAATTTTTATTAAAACATTATTATATTATCAAATTTAAACAATAATTATTTTAAATATATTTATTGTGAGCTTTAAACTAGTTTATAAATATTTCTCATATTTCTGTCGTATATCAATTTACACATATTTAAATAATTACTTCTTATATGAAGATTATGAATCTACACAATATGAACTCTTAATTATCAATTTAATAGATTTCTTTATATTACCTCAGATTTTCTTAATCTTGTAAAAACTGACATTTTTAAAAATTTCAATAGATTATTCTTGAGTTTTTGCTTAACATTCTTTGATAATTTTTATATTAAGAAGGTGATTCAATAAGTAAGTAACAATGTGAATCTTTTATATTTGTCCTTGATGTATAAAAACAATAAAATGCTTGCCAATAGATGCTGGCAGTTATTAGCTTTGATGTGATTGCAAAACAGACATGTTATGCAACCACAATCTCTCCTTGTTTTGAGCATTTTGCAAATATGGTGGGCATATTTTTGGACAGTATATTAGATGAATGACAGGCTGAGATTCATTCTCTGTGGGTTAAAGGGCTCGCAGCAAAGGACATTCATTTGTGTTAAAATGCTTCCGATTTATGGAAATGACTGCTTATATTGCAAAACTATATATTGACTAATTCCATAAAGGTTACTCTTGGTTGATGGAGAGCTGGAAAATCCTGTTTTCATATCAACTAGACAAAGTCAAAAGTGAAATAAAAAATGATATGGTGAAATATATGAGTAACAATTGGGTACATGCAGAAGATACTGAATATTTTGTTGCATTGGCGCACACAATTGTGTATGATCAGTTGCACTATTGAAAGGTGTGCGTGAGATGGGATCCTAGAGAGCTTATCCCAAAAACGAAACAGGATTGCATGGGTGTCTGCCTAAAAACTTTGGCACATTACAATGCAGAAGGAGGCACAATGTTTTGGCCACTTTCAGCCAGTGATGCGGAACAAAAGCTAACCTGTAGCCAAAAGTTCAAGGTCACACCTTCCACAAATAGTCATTTTGACTACGTTTTGGGACTATGAAGTCCTAATGAAGTTAACAAGAAGTGTGAAAATTTCTACAGTATCATCTACTCTTCAGTGCTTGTGATCTGTATGATACAATTTGCAAGAAATGGCCCAAATTGCTGACAGAAAAAATAATGCTTCTGCAAGGCAATGCCAGCACAATACCCTTGCTATCATTTAAAAATTAGCATGGACAATTATCAGACACCCAGCTTACATTCCAAACTTGGCATCCATTGACTTTCATCTGTTTGGATTCCTCATCTTGATGGACAGCATTTCTGAAGCAATGAAAACATAGAGAATGAGGTCAAACACTGGTACAGACATCAGTCTAAAGATTTCTATGCTGAAGGATTTCAGAAACTTGTTAAACAATGGGACAAGTGTTTAACAAGTAGTTTTTAACATTTATACAAGCATCAAAAAGCAAATGTATATATTACCAAAAATTACTATCTATTTTTCTCTTTAAACCAGTTTGTGACTTACTTATTGAATTACTCTCATACTAATCACATTAAATTTTAGTTTTTATCAAGATTTAAAAGTTATGAAAACAAAAGTACAAATAAGAATATTGGTTTCCTGAGATATTGGTTGCAAATGAAATCTAATCAAAACTTATAACTATAAAAATATTATATATACATTGCAGGAAATACTAAAGCAATTTCCCTTTTAATAAAGATTGAAGTAATATATCATAAGTATCATGAAAACCGAATTTTAAATAATGAAAATAGTCACTAGAAATGGAATTAAAATTTTACATGGAATATGATCATCATGAACAAAATACAACACAAGGAAATAACACAACACATAATGCAAGGGAATAAATAAGTAATGAAAATTTAAGAATCTTACAAATGAAAACAATTAACAATTTAAATTCTGAAAAAATATTTTAACTTTACACATTATTAAAAATATTGAATATATTTATTATTAAAAATAAATGAAAATACACATTGATATACCAAACTACAAACCATTTAATATGATTAAAATTATTCTTTTTAATATAAATTTTTTTTTTACTTTATAAATTAGTATCTTCGTTTTAATGAAATTTGTTGCTTTCTTTAAAATTAGTTTCTTCATTTTCAACACTGTTCAAGTATTTTTATTTAGACCATGTGTAAGTTAAGACAATATTTTCTTTAATCCTAACAACAGATTTTACAAGGTAAGAAAGCTTTTTTGGAATTTGCTTTTTTAGAAAACTATAACATCTATCATCATCATATTTATTAGAATCAAAGAAAAATATCTAAATACTGTATCACTTTTAGAAATAATGACAAAATGAAAGAAAAAAACCTATAACAAAAATTATTTCAAAATATTTACATTATTGAACTATGATAACTGTTGAAAACGAGAATAAAATCCAATATCAGCCTAAGATAAATAGCTTTTTTTTTATATATTTCTGTTTTCATTGGATGAATCTAATTATACTAAAAAGTTCCTTTAATAAAAGAAGAAATTAATATTTTTGCCTTAGAAAAAACTAAAACCATGAAATTCATTAATATTTAACATTAAAAATTTTTTATAAGTGTTAATTCAAATTAAGACTGCAATAATATACAGTAAGGTTATGATGCCACATTAGAGCCATATGCTTAACTTATAACTGCTGAAATTTCTTTTTTCTTTTATATGGTTATACATTCACCTCATCAGCTAAATGTTTTATTAATCAATTGAATAAACTATTTTAGCTAAAATAACAGAAATAATTAAAGATCAGATCTGCCGTTGTAATTAACTAAATTTCTTTACGATGAATGAAATATTAAATTATTTTATTCGAAAGGTATGCAGTTTTCAAAAAGTTTAATACATTTTTTTGTTTTGATATGCATCAATCAATAATTACGTTATACATATATACATTTAAAAACTAAGGAAATTTCTAACCCAAAACATTTATTTTTCAAAAAAATTTCTATAGGCATTTAGATAATTGTCTCCCTGTTCTATCAGCTTACAGCTACCTAAAAACATGCAGCATAAAAGTTTGTTGGTTACTGTTGGAGTGATTGTAATATATTTTCCTGAATCTCTTTTGGCTTCAAAAACGTTTGCTATCCAAGTATTTTTTTTAAAAGTCTAAAAAAGGTCATATAGCCTGAGGATCTGGCACTGAGCAAATAGCACTTTTTCAGACCTTTAAAACAATTGGATGATGGATTTTTTACAAGAAATGAAGACAAACAACAACTTATATTGTAATGACTTCAATAGCACTGAAAAAACTGTTATGTGGCACATTTTCTGCTAACAGAATGTTAGGATGAATAAATATTATAGAAATTTTGTTGAAAAATTAAAATGTTCTTTGTCTTTTCGTAATTTATAACTGACCTCATATGTGTTTAGTATATCAATGGTATTCTGTATGGCAAAACAAAACTGTGTTCTCATAATTTTGTATTTTTTTTTTATTTCCTGAAAGAAATGTTATTTTATTACTTTTGAGAATATTAAAAATGACTTTAATAACAAATACTTAACTTAATATTATTTGATATTAAGGTCTATTGTCTAAAATTAGATTTTGCAGAAATGTTTTAAATTAAATATTGCTAAGATGACTTAATAATCTAAAATGTTTTAGTATGTTACAAAAAACAATAAAATCATTATATATAAAAATAAAAACAACTGTTTTCAGGTACACAACAAAAAAAAATCTAAAACATGACTACTGCACCAAAGAACATGCATTTGAAAACAAAATTTTATAATCTAAGAATATAACATAATAATAAAATTTATTAAAGTACTTATGAATGGTACAGTATGGTCTTGTTTTATGTTTCAGCAGATACTATAAAAAATGAATTTCTGCATAAATTTGTGCTTCACTCCAGTAGTCCAGGATGATTGTGCAGATGCTTGCTTATGCAACCATTTACAATCAACAGAAAACCATTAAATTTGTTTAAAATGTTTTACTTACATTTTTACTGTAATGAGTAACATTTCTGTCCAATGTTTCTGAATATATACAGCAAAATTTTATTATACTATACTGAGTATACCACTTGAGAAAAATGCATGCAAACCACGGTGAGTAGCATTCAATAGTTCTCTGTATTTGGAATGTAAAAAGCCAGAGAAACACAATTTGCTGATTTGAGCCAATTTAGTGGCACTTGTCATTTGTCAACTGCAAAATCAAATCTGTATACATCGTTCTTGCATAAAACAAGACCCTACTATATTCTGAATAATTAAAAATTCAACTAATAAGACCAATATTTGGAAGAGACTGGATTTTATTAATTTTTTTTTATATAAAAATCAGCTCTATCCTAAGTCCTAGTAATCAAATTTTAGGTTGCTATTATCTTCTTTTCAATTTAATAGAATTAGAAAACTTTTCTTAAATTGAAAACATTTTCACAATCTCTTTCAACATGATACAATTTTCTAAACTGCTACAAATGATGCAAATAAAATTAAGGAGTTCATCATATGAATTCAAACCACCAAAAAACAAACAAAACATAGGTAAATATGACTAGGTAAACTTTGAGTATAACAAGCAATAAATACGTATATGTATATATATTATATACTATATATACATTAAAAGTAAGAAAATTTAACAGGACTAGATATTTAAAAGAAGATCATATAAATAAGTTAAATACAACAATAATTTCTTATACAATTCAGAATAATTCTAACTTCATTACATTCATAATATTACAAACAAAGTGAGATAACGTCTCTTGTAATATTTTTAGAATGGAATATTTGTTGACTCCTCAAAATTGCATTTGCTACTCATAATATACATTTCATATACATTGTAACAGCCAATTTGTTTTAATACTAACAAAAATTGTAAATAGGAATTTTACTCTCACTTTAAATATTTATATACAAAAATTATTTTTATAGTAAAAATTCTAATCTCTCTCTTTTATTTTAAAGCTGTAGTTTCATAGTTTTTCTTAAGCTAATAACAATTATAGCTTACTTGAGAAGCTACTTTGTGCAGTAACACTGAACTATATCAGAGAAGAAACTTATTGATGATAATCAGTGAAGCACAACAGGCAAGATGAAAATACAATTTTCTTTCATGTATTTTTATCAACTGGCATCTTGCATATTTTCCTTGTCATTTCTTCCTATTAAAAAAATTTGTTAAAAATTAAAAATTTACATTTAAACATATAATTAATAATAAAACATTTTACATAACATATATAATTTATAAGTAAAATACACAAAGCTATTTACTAAGTCTAAAATAACTACACAAACATAAAACTGAAATTTATTTTGTAATTTTTACAAATATCATATTGATCAAAGGAAAATTTACAGGAAAACCAAACAAAGCATAATGAAAATTGTAATTGTAAAAATTTTAAACATATGTCATAATAATGTAAAATCAAATAAAGTATTTCAGAAAACTAACAGAAAAAATAAGAAGTAAGTATTTCATTTATCCTGAATTTTTAAAGACCATATTGGAAAATTAAACATTAATAATGACAAAAAAGTATCAACACAAAACATTTTTAATAGAATTCTTTAATTATTAAATATGAAAAACAAATATTTTTTGGAAGGTTCTTCAGATTTTTTTTCTTGATTCTCAAGATAATTTGGTTTTCATTAGTTTTACTTGAGTCACGTGTTTCTAGTTAAATTTATTCTTATGAAAAAAATCCACTTGCTCTGAAATATGACAGTACATTCGATTACATCATTATCATCTAACTTTAATATATATCTTACATTCAAATTTATTGAGTTAATTCAACAATTACAATTTGTAATTCTCATGTGAACATAGATTATTAACTTTCTTAAGACCAGGGTAACGATCTGCCGCACCCCCCTTTGTTATAACAATGTACTAGAGTACCGATTCGTTGTTACCCTTCGAAAAATCGATTTTAATGAAAATTTTTGGCAACAGATGCCACCACTTGACGGTAGTGTGTTGGTTACCATCTGTTTCACATATTTGTGTCCAGGTGGTGTTTTGTCGACTCAAAAATTTTTATTTAGCGATTTTTTTTTTAAATTTATATATTTTTTTCATTTATTTTATAGCATATTTACGTAATAATATTACTAAAATACGTTTATTTATGCTATAATAAGTTTATTTAGTTATAATTAAGCAATTTATGATAAATATTTAAATTGTGATTTTTAATTTTATAAATTTTTTTATTTTTTAATTTAATTAAAAATATTAGCACATCGTAAATGTATTACTACTGGTTTATATATTTATCACAATAATTTATATTATTGTTCAAAATAAAATGAATAAAGAATATTAGTTCGTAATATTCATCGATAGCAAAATAAAGGTTAGATTCCAAACAAAGGATATATTATAATATGTCATAATTTTAAAACTAAAAATCGTACATTCAAAAATGTTATATAGAATTGTACAGAACAACATTTCAAGTCGTTCTGGCTTAGTGCCAAGAACAAACTACTTAACTGGAGTATGTGAATTTTAAAAAATGTTGGAAATTTTCACAGACAGATGTCAGTTCTGATATATTATAATTTTTTTCTATTGAATTTTTTAATGGAAATGTATTTATAAATATCGTATTTATAACTACAGATATTAATAAATGTAACGTGATTTTTGTTATATGAATATAACAATAACTTGATTTTTGGTGAATTTTTGAAATAATATAACTTGTTTGACCTATATTGACCTTGGCCCTTCTCAACAATAAACGTAAATACGGGGGCGTGGTACCTGATTCTAAGAAGGTTAAGATAAAAAAACACAACACCAAGCCATTACAACATTGTGTCAACATCCTTTTTACTGAAACAGTATGTTAATGCTGTTCTGATTGGGACACAACAGTGTGTGTCTTGACATCATCCTTGGAAGTACTGTAAATTATGTACAATTTTGTAGGGGAGCATGTCAGTTTTTCTCTGTCATCAATACTAATATTTTCTTTTTTTTATAAGCTAGGTGCAATTCATTGTATTTTTTAAATATGTATTCTAGAGAACTGTGTAATTTTCATGTAGAAAAAAAGATTGTGGATGCCTGGCATATTTTGGCTAATTGTGAGTGGCTTAAAAGTATTACAGAAAACATTTTTTAATTACACTGTTTTTAAGGTCTTTTTTCCTTAAAATTTTACCAGAACCTTCTTTTCAATTTAAATTATTTTGTTTTTCAAAAAGATCTATTGATTTTTAGCACGCTCCACTATAGATAGTAAGTGAAGAGCTTATGTTAGGACTTTTGTCTGTCTGTCAGATTTCCACGTTCATGTGCAATGACTTCACCTGTACAAACTCTTTTTAGACTTGTATTTCTTCTTAGAATCGAAATAAGTCAATTGAAGTCTTTGTATAAATGATAACATTACTTCACATTCAATTCTTTTATTTTATATATTGAGCTTCAACTGGATTATTTTAAATTAAAGACAAAACACCTATTCCAGCAACTATATTTAATTTTATCTAATGCTTTCTGCTATCTGTGTAGCCAGCGTCAGGATCGAACACTTTGAATAGAATTCTTTAATGTTTAAATATTACGTTCTAACAATAACATTAAAAGTGCTCAGCAAGTAATAGTAAACACAGAAAATAACACACCTTAATTTGCTGCTGAGAAAAATAATTGAAACATAGAACGTATCTGTTCAATTTTCGTTTTTTGGACCTGATGATGGCCTGTTAATCAGGCTGAAAATGTTAGTTTTTCAATTATTTTTCTCAGCAGCAAATTAAGGTGTGTTATTTTCTGTGATTACATTCTAAACCATTAGTTTAGAATGTAATATTTAAACGTTTACCTTTGTGGAGTGTGCTATCAGATCAGCTTGACCAATCTTCTTTGTTTTATGGGGCATAATTCCTCTGCTTTAAATTTGGTTTCATTCCTGGTGTAGTTTGGGAGTATCTGTCAGTTTTTATCTGTCATCAATACTAATATTTTCTTTTTTATAGGTAAGAAGTTTTGGTATTTATATTAATAGTTAAAATATTATTATTTTATTGTAACATTATATTCTTGTTTAATGACAGATGCTCCCAAATTTAAATTACTTTTAATATAACCTAATATGATTGTGTATTTTTGTTTTATGATTGTAAGTTTATGTTCAATGTAATTGTTTTGTTTTTGGGTGTCTATTTAGCTCCCCACATACATCATGGAATGAATCCAGTATGCTTAAATAATTAAAATATACAATTTTGTAATCATTCTGTGAACAATTCTTTAGAAATGCCTTGATAACAGGAAATTTAAGGCTACAGAAGAATTTGAAAAAAATCAAGTACTAAACTCATTAACCCAAAACTAATTCTAAGTCAGGACTTTTTTTTACCCTTAAACTTCAACTTAACAAGGTTTTACTGTAATAAAAATTGATTTTAATACTACTACATAACCAAGAAAACATAGAAATTGCAAGAAAAAATAAAACTAAACAAAATTTCTACAGTTGATATAATAAACTTACTAATGGTTCAAATTCTTTTTCGCCAACTAGATCGAATTCAGTCACAAAATAATAAAAATGTTTATAACATGTATTAACATGCGCTTCCTGTAAAAATGAAAATAGTCAATGTATGCATTATACAAAATTTATTTTATTGTTTTTGGTACTTCAAATTTGTTACCATACTATATACAGAAGGACACATTTGTAGATAAGCAATAAGAATAGTCATTCTGAGGTTGCTGTAAATTTAAAATTTATTTACAAATAATACTTAAAATGAGAATGTAAGTGAGGAATAGATAATTTATCTTTATAAAAGTACATAAATACTAAATTATTCTATTTTGAGGAATTGCACACAATTTAGGTAACTTTCATATATAAAGCAATTATAATCAATTAATTTTTTATATGAGAAAAAAATAGAATATGTGGTTCACAATTTTTTAAAATACCAAACATAATAAAATACAATTTTATCACGTACACTTTATTTCAATATATTCTGTTATTATTTAAGTTTTGTAGGAATTAACTATAGTTAAATCTCTTTTACAAATTTTTTGTATATATTTTTATGATTTCTATATTTTAATTGTTGGATAATTTAAAATATATTTTTGTTATAGTTATTCAGTTAGTGAATTTGAATTGCCTGATACTTTTTATCATTTATAAATTTTTAATGATGTAACCACTAATTTTTTCTTTATATAATAAATGATGAGATTAGCTTTTCAATTACAAAATTGTTGTTTATCATCAAATATGTGCATTTGATTTATAATATACTTATTCATTTGATTATAATACCAAATTTAAACAAGGGCCATGGAAGAAAGTTTTAGTGGGACCAGTGCTAGCTTAAAAGTGATATTAAATTATTCTTATTTGATATCTTCTTTGATTTTTAGCAGGGTAAAAGTGGGTGGCCCATGGCCTACTCAGACTTTCTGTACCAATGAAAGAAGTACAGTAGAGTCCTGCTAGTCCAAACTAATTGGAACTGAGTCCTGTTTGGATTAGTCAAATAATTGAAATAATGCAGAAGCAAGCAGTAAAATAGGTCTAGTTTATGTAAATTCAACACCATCAATGATGTCAGAACCCCACCCTTTATTTCTTCTGACTTGTACTCAATAGAGGGTGCAAACGGTTAAGAAAAACAAGTTTTGTAATTTTGAAATGGCAACCTGCCTTCATTGTTTACCTTAAAATTATTTTAACTGTAAAAAATGTTGTTTTTAATACACAATCCAGGATTCCAATCAGTTGACTGATGCTACTGTGTGAGTTAGCACACTTAATTGTGGATGTTGAATGTATCTTTGCTCTATGTTATTTTAGTTTAGTTTAGTCTGCTGCTACAATAGCCACAAAATGGAAATACACAATGTTGTACATTGAAAGATAAGCTGGACATTTTGGAAAGGCTGGACAAGGGTAAAAGTGCAACAAAATTGACAGTACAGTTTGGAGTGGGTAAAGCCACAATAACTGACAGTAAAAAACTGCACAAAGATCGAGCAGTTTTGTGCCTCTACTTCAGAAAAATCAGTTGAAAATCGACAAACATTAAGACCCTCAATGTTTGACAAGCTTGATGAAGTCTTATTCACATGGTTCACTCAGGAAAGAGAAAAGGAAACACCTCTAAGTGGACATCTTGTTAGAGAAAATTTCCTCTCTGCTGACTTAAACATGTTCAGGTTAGACAGACGTTTGGATTAGTGGTATTCTGACTAGCAGGACTCTACTGTAGATTTATGTTACTTGATAATGTGATTATAAATAAAACAATTTTGCATAAGTTTTTGATAAATATAATCAAAATTTGAACCTTATAATTCAAGAAAATAATTCAAGCTCTAATGAAAATGGAATTGATGCAGTTATGTCAAGTGTAGTTATGCAGTTATGTGTAGTGTGGGTTTTCCGACCTTTACTCGCCTAGGAGTCGACCTTGAGGTTAAAGGTTACGACTCTCGCTTTGCCTGCGATCTGTCAGGATGATGTGAGAAAGCCTTTTTACGTATGGAGGTAGTGGTTTGCTGGACGCAAATATGACTCACACAGAGACCATATTTTCAAATTACACTGCGTTTATTTAAACAAAGACATCATGCTTACAGATAAGGCCAAAAGGGTGTATTCTAACTGTCTTGCAGCCTCAGATGATCCTGGAAGTGCGCACCAACCAGCAAGTGTTCATCCTGGTTTCCAGTGAAGTTCTCCACAGAATCAGATGCGGGAGGTCCAGGAGGAAAGAGTTATCAGGAAATTGGGTCCCTTATTTTTCTTGTACTCGGAGTCTTTAGTCTTCTGAGTCTGTGCTTCATCAGTGTCTTTGGGATTTCTTCTTTGTCCGTTGTCAGAGTATCTGCAGTCCATGCACAAGGATTAACTGCTTTAGAACACCACCTCCCTGTGTCCTTGGGACCTCAGGCTTTTATAACATTTTTTTCCCAAAATCCTGAGGTTTTGATTTGTCTGAACGGTGGGCCCCTGTAATTTTGTTGGTCCCTAGTCTGTTGCCAGGGATGCAATTCAAGCCGCAGGGTTGCCAAACATCCCCATCTGGGCCATTCCCCTCTGGAGTCAGGTCAAGCCCTTCCCCGGATGACAGACCAGTAAATTTTACCTAATGTGTATTTTCCTGTCCCGGAGAATATGCAGCTGTCCCAGACGCCGCCTCCTCCACAGGAGTGTCAGCAAGTCCTGCTTTGAACTCTCTGTAAGGTGACCATCCAAAGTTACCATGGCGGACGATCTCTCTCTCATTCTCATGATGTACAATCTAGGATCTGTCAATTAGGTCTGGAATGCAACAATTAAATCGTCTTGCACCCCATTCCTTGATCACACCGGTCCCGTTTATGAAATAAGTCACTAATTTAATGGCTTCAACTCGACATCAGTTTCCCATCGGGAGGTGATGTCCTGGTCTCACAGTAGTCATTTCTGTATTTTCTATTAAAAATATCATTTGAAATCAATTTTCAATACTAAATAATATGAAATCATATGAATTAACCCAACTGAAAGAACTAATATTAAATAATCAAATGATAAGTTATCTATAATAATTTGTTTTGTATACAGGCCTGGGAGTGCTATTTACCCTCTGAAAAAGTGAGAAAAGTGAGTTGAAATACAGAAAAAGTGAGTAAAAAGTGAGTGCAATACAGGTAGCCCTCGGTTTACGCCGGCTCAATTTACGCCAATTCACAATAACGCCGCTGTGCAATTCGCCATTTCGCAGTGTAATTCCCCAATTTTCCCTATGCTAGACTGATTTAGGCAGCTAATTTCAGTAAATCCTTTGTAATAGGTACAAGGTGTGGGCTTCGGTCATACATGTTTAGTCCCTCCTTAACAATCAAAAGTGAATTAAGCATTCTTTCTGACATTGATGCTCTATCAGGAGGAAGTGCCCGGCGTGAAATTGAAAATCCC